ATGGGCCGCGGAAAGTGAAGTGCCTTGACACTTAGTCTTGATTTATGACTATGGCGTTCGTAAGTTTTTCAAACACTGGACGAAGACTTCTTGAAACGAGCCAATTGTCATGGAGCCACTTATTTCCAAAGCTGGCGTTAAGTGTTTGCCACTCTGGAGAACTTAGGGGCAGCACATCTGAAAGAATACACAATGACACAGGCAAGCAACCACCAGTTGTGGTCGTCGTCTGTGTTTGTAGATTTGCAATAAAAAGGAATTTACAGGCCATCAATTAGAGTGTGTAATCATGTTTCCTATGAAATGTCTAAAAATGTCTCCAATCGTCTGTGCTGAGGCTCACAGATAACTTTGTACAGAACCTTGATTGAAATAACTCCAATTGGAGCTGTCAAAAGAGCAGTTAGAGAAAGAGAAAAACTTTTATATAGAAACTATTTCTTGAAACGGCAACAGTTAAATTCAAGAGATATATCTCTATTAACTACCTATTAATGAAGAATGAGCTGAAAACCAACAGGAAAAATAATTACTCGCCTTCGCTTCAAAAGCACAAAAAGTGTACAAATCGGTTGAAAAGAACAGCTGTGTATATAGGTTTAGTGCAGGAAAATCTCCTTTGAAATAGGTGGAATTTCTAAATTAAACATTTTCTGATCTCATTGGCTAATGAGTCGCTGCAGAGTCATGTAACTTTCTAAATGTTGTGTCACAACAAATGCAGTTTCCAATAGCTTCTAAATGTTGCTATAATTCTTTGCCAAAATCAAGTATTCTTCAGCACCAAATTATAAATGGAAATGCTAGCACAATTGTTTGTTATATTGAAATATTGGCTTCATTCGCTCAGCCCCTGCGTCTGTGCACCCTTCTCCACTTCATTAGCTTAAATCGCGCTTCAATCAAAGGGAGATTTCCTCTACAACCCTCCAAATGCCTGCCAAAGACAAAAAGTCACATTCAATTTTTCGTGATACTCGTAAACTTTATCAGCCGCCATGAGGCATCGAATTACACATTCCGAATGCTTTCTTAGCGGCAGTTACCGTCTCATGCAAATGCCGAAGCCGTTTCCAGTCATATTCTATCGCATATCAGCCACAGAATGTGCGCCATAATCCAGTTTTCATTTTTTCCGCTCGTTCGCCCATGGCAACGAGTCCTGGGCCCTGACTAAGCTCTGCCTTTTGTTTGTGTTTGGCCGCATCCTGCGCCGCGTTGCAAATCGATGAGGCAGCATACAAAAAAAAAGGTCGACAACTGTTATTATTGAAAATCCATAACCCACACTTCACGATTTGTCGTCCGCCTCCCTGCCGTTGTTTATTTGCCGCTATTTCCCCGAAATGAGAGCGTGGGTGCAGCGCTTCTTTCCCCAGAATCCAAAATTGTTTTCGAGTGGCAGGCCAGCCACAAAGGCGACGATTCCTTTTCCCAAATGCAGATCCAACAGCCTGGCGTTTGAGCTTCAAGCTGGGGTGTGGAGAGGGGACGTGGACTCATCACGGGGGTCGAAACACTTCAAAAAACATCCCCCCAAACGTGTGAAAAATTTAAAGAAAAAAACCCGATAATAATAAGCATATTGAACGTGTTGGGAAATACAAATTGATTTCTCTACTAAAACAATAATGTATACATAGAGGAATATAGTATGTTAGAGTTTTAAATGCAGATACAAGTATTTATAGCAATATATAGTAGTTAAGCTATAGAAACTATGCTTATAATATTCGATTTTTGGAAGCATTTGGCATTTGATTAAAGATGTGCGCCCACCTTACTTTTTAAGGTAAGGCAGTATGGAAAGCCTTGAGTAAGCGATGGGAGAGATATGCTGCTGGACCCATTGAACCATCACAGAAACACAATTTGCTCCCCTCGTGACGTGCTCTTTCAACCTAAAAAAACCTTGGTATAATTGTTCAAAATTAAAGTGCACCCACAAATAGTTCATAGAGTATGTGCATACGTACTAGGTTGTAGAACCTCAATACTTGTTTTCCGCAGACGAAAATCGGAGCGGGCCGACTGCACCTTCCATTTGAATAGACACACAATGCTGTTCGTTGAGGAAACTTTCAATTGCACTTGTTAATAAAATATTGTGTTTGCACAGCGGACCATAAATAAAACTGCAATTCCAGTGCAGACTCAATTGAAACAAGTCGAGGGAATAATTTACACCAACTTGCTTACAGGCAGCCCCTGTCTCCCGGTTTCCCACTCACTGCCGCGCAACTTAGAGATTGTTGAACTCACGCAACCAGCTTACAGATCCATCCATATGGACACTGCCGGCTGCCTGTAATGCTTGACGGGTCTAATCTACGCCTCAAGATCTTGTCTCACTGTGCGTGTGACTGTGCCTGTGATTGTGTGTCGTGGCGGGGCTTACGAGCACTCTCTCGAATGCCTCAAGTTGTTTTCTAATTTGGGCTGCATTCGGCTGCGAGTGCAACTGCGAGCGGCCCAGCAGAATTTGTCTGACGTCGCCGATCCCGCATTCCCATATCCCATAGTCCATAGCCCATAGTCCATAGCCCATAGCCCTGCCTTGTCGAGCACAACAATTGCACAATTTACTGAAGAATGCGTCTAAGCGTCACTTAAAAACACATTATTCAATTTATACCATCTACCAGATATGAAGACAAAGTACGCACACAAATGGCGCTCAACATGTTCATGATATGGCAGGCAACCGGACGGACAGACAGACAGACAGACAGACAGACAGACGGACAGATGGACGGACGGTCGAAGAAACATTCAAGAGATGTGTGTTGTTTGCTTAACTGGAAAGTACTCAATAGGGCGCTCACAATAAATGCTACGTCCAGATGTCCACAAATAGAAATGCCTGCATGCATACACTGGCACAAAAACTAACTAAGTACTTAATTCAAATTTGACATCGACATAACACCAAGCTTAAGATGCCTTTATCGAACAAACTACAAGTACATCCGTGCTCTCACATGTAATGTATAGAAGAATTCTATTACCAGCAAGTTTCAAATGTAGGGTATTCGCGTACACTGGTTAAGAATTAAGCAACAATTTTGTCTCTAACAAAGAAATAAAACAGACGACAGCAGGCGATGGATGTCCTCAATTTAATGTTTAGTGGTGGTGCCAGCTACCGACAATTTGTTTGCAAATAATTTGCATATCTGAACATGCTGAATATTAAGAGGCTTATAAAATATTCGCCTTCTGTTTGTATTGAAAAAATAAGCTGCATTTTCTAAACACAATTATTGTTGAAGGTGTCAAGCTTTTTTCTCAGTGTAAATGTGTGTTGGACGATACTTGAGGCAGAAATACCGATGTATTATTGTAAGTTATTGTTGTTGTGGCTGCTGCAGATCGTTGAAGTGCAGATTGAAGTGGCAGGGTCAGCCGCTGGCTTGGATTAGGTCAACGTGATCTCTTGATTAGGCTGGAGTTGGGGGCGACGGAGAAAGTGTCGACAGTGGAATCTAAAACTTGATTGTCTGCTCCACACTAAGTACTAACCATGGCCTGACCGAGCAGCGAAGTAAATCGAATTCGCGCTCACAGTTTACAACTTCCGGCTGGCAATGTACGCAAAAAAGTAGGCAAAAGCAAAAGAGTACGAGGGATTATGACGTCGACGGAAATGGCGAATCGCGAATGGTGAATGGCGGAGAGAGCAGCCGGAAGAAGGGCCAGCTGGATGACTCATTGACTCATTTGGCAACAGTTCTACAATGCTGCTTGCATTGCTTTGGCCTTACTTTATGTTCATCACAAAATGGCATTGCAAAAATGAATATGCCGGGCTACTTATGTACTCGTATCGTATCGTCGTAGCCCCGTTTATTGAACTTTGGGCTCGAAACAAAGGCCGGCGAACAAGGGCGTCAACAAGCGGCCGGCGGGCTGGCCTCCGCAAATGCCAAAAGCAGCGTTAGCTGCTTGCCAAGCCATGAGGGTCCGGCCGCCTTGGATGTAGCCAGATAATGTCTATTTGTGGCCTGTGACTGATGCAAATCTGTAGAATGACACAGTCAGCTATTTGGGTTGGTGGGGCCATCGCCAATCCTGTCATGGGGGTTGTTGTAATTTTGCACGTGCCGGGGGTTGCTAAGGGTCCCTGCCCCACACGTACTGCAGACACAAATATTTTGGCACACTTCCCTTTCGGACTAATGCCTACTGTGTTTGTCCTCCTCGGCATTGAACATTAGGCAGCTGGCTGACTGGCTGACTGGCTGGCTGGCTGGCTGGTCATTATTAAGAAATCTGATATTTTCGCTTAACGCCACAGCACAGTCCAGCAGTGGTCAGTCCAGCACCAGCCGGCGGGGTTGTTTACATTCTCGTTTGATTTTATTATTTTTAATTTTCGTAAACGGTTTGAGCGACAGCTCTTCGTTGAAAGTGGGCCAACGCCCGCCCTCACCCACTCGAATCCGTTTTCATGTTAATGTGTAAATAAAATTTGGCGCACATTGACGGAAGCCGTTTTAATTGCATTTCCTCCACCATTTGGTGCGCAAGCTATATGAAACGCACGGAAGCTACTCTTGAAAGGAACAAAATGCTATTAAGTATCTCCAACGTCAATTTCTTTGGCATATTGTACAATTGGCTTGGGCGGACGTTGCTTTAAATTCTTCCTAGCGGGCGGCAGTTTATCTTGGGGCATGTCAAAAAGCTGCCTGCTGCACAACAGCGCGTTGCCACATATCGAACTCGTTTAGCACTAAAAATGCCCACATAAACAAAGCCGCTCCCAACTGCTCTCTTAAATCGTTGCCGTAGAGCGTTGCCAAGAGAGCCTGCTAGAGAAATTCAGTTGCTCTGCCTGCAGTGTGAGCGAGAGAACAATAGCTGTCGTTTTGTTGCGCATTCACAACTTGTGAGTTTTATGGCTGGCCTTTGGATTTTACTCTTTGTCTTGAAATTGTTGTCGAGCTAAGCGGTCGCAACGGAAGTTGTTCGCGTCGAATGCAGGAAAATTATAAATAAAAGAAAATAAGCGGAAAATCAACAAAAAACAATCGTTCGTGTGTGCGTTGATCGTGATTATTTTTTAGTAGTGTCGAACAAGAATTGTAATAACATACAATTTTCAATTAAATCGTCTTGTTAGTAGTTAGTTCCAAAGTCGAGCTACGTGAGCGTCTACATGTGGAAGTGTGTATGTGAGTGTTCTTATACCGTCGCGTTTGTGGCCAAAGGCAGAGAGCAAAAAGCGCGCGTCAATTAAAATAAATATTTAATGGCAATAAAGCATTGCTATGGGTGTGTAAAAGAAAAGCAAGCATAATAAGCATTTGCCAAACACAACACACATACATAATAAATATAAATATATTGAAACAAGTGTTGTTCAATTGTGATTTTCGGTGCACACACACACGCAAATAGGAACACAGCCACAAACAGCACTCACACATGGAAACCCAAAACGAGATTGAGATTTTTTGCAAACGTCCGTTTGCGGCTGTGTGTGTGTGTTTGCGTCGCTTGTGAAACAACAAGAGTAGCAGCAACAAAAATCCAAAAACAGCAAAACTTGTACCAATTTTGCACTTTACTGTTCATAAAGCACAATAAAGCGAGCAACAACTACGCGTAAAGGCAAAGGCGTCCAAGTGTTGCCGCACGATTTTCACCTGCTGTGTGGGAATCATAATAGAAAAAATATTTGTGCCGTTGTTTTGCTGATTTCTATAGCAAATGCTACAACAATAGCAACGAAAGCAACAACAACTAGTGAAAGTGTTATAACAACAACAAATATTCAATATTATTGTCGCTAAATGTGGCCGATGTGCGGGTGTGTTTAACAATCAATGTACAATTAACTGTACATTGCACCGAATTGGATTAAAGCTGCCAACACAACAGGAATACAAACAACAACCACAACAACAGCAACAACTACATATTTGCAACGGCAAGCAAAAGCAACACAAGGTAAGTTTTATATCTACTACGATTTGAGTGTACTCCCTTTTTGCAAAAGTATCCGCCCATGTCTAGCGACGTGTTATTTTTTTTAGTACATTTCTTACCTGTATGGTAGTCTGAATGTCTGGTTGTCTGGTTTTATATGGAAAAGGTATCAAGGCACCAGCAAAAACAACACCAGCAACAAAAAATAAATGAAATGCTGCTGCTGGAAAAGGCGATGGACGCTCCTTTTTTGTTTACCTTGACTGCCTCGATTTTTTTATGCGCTATTCTCTGAGCATGCATGTGTGTGCATGTATATATGTATGTGTGAGTATGTATGTGTAGTGTTGTTCTTGTGTATCCCGTTTTTGCCCGCCCTTATGTGTTGGTCGCGGTCGTGTTTGCCCTTGTTCTGTTGCTTTTGTTGGTGTTGCCGTGGCTGTACATTGGACGTTTGGCGTTTGTTTTTTATGTTTTATGCTACCTACTCGGTTTACTACATGCCACTGCCACACTTTGTTGCATATACTATTAGTAGTACTCTACTCACTACTACTACTACTACCAGTTCAAAGCTGGGGAGCCACAGTGTTGCATTTAGGCATTTGGAATCAAACCCTTTCCGTCTAGAGGCGCATGAATGCATACTTGTTTGTTATCTTTGGGGGCTATTTTGGTTCGGAATAAGGTTGTGGTTGTTGATAAGGAAGCGATTGATAGGCGATTTCAGCTAGTGTTTTGGTTTTAATTCGGTTGTAGACAAAACATTTTAGTGTGTTAGAATTACTGTCTAATCGACTGCAATGAAATCAATTCGATCCATCTACATACATATGCCTTATGTTGATACCTCTTTTTCCTGCTCAGAATGCATTCAAATGCATTGTTGCCTCATTTCACGGGAAGAACAATGGGTGCATTTAATTGAATCCTCCAGAATCGCTCGCTCGCGGTATGCACAATAAATCTTCGCTCAGGACGGTTTCGGGCACAAACGAAACGTCACATAAATAATACAAAGAGAGTTAATAGGCTTAGTCGGGCCCACAGACAATGGCCACAACGAAAAAGTGCATACAGATCCAATCCAACTTCCTCTTGACTTGGGCCCGGGCTGGGACTAGAACTGGGGTCGGGGTCGGGGCTTGTGACCCAAATAGCCCAGCAGCAAAGACGGCGTCGGCGGTCGCTTTGTTTCGGTCTCTTCGTCGTGTTCTTCGCTCTCTCTTCTACTTCACTAAAATGATTAGTTTGACTCGAAAATTTGATTAGCATTCGGACTTGGACTTGACACCTTGACTTCTGTGTCGTGGTCAGCGCGAGCAGATAATTTGGAAGTGAATACTGTGGTGCGGCCTTAGCTTTTATTTTCGTTGCTGTGTTGTTGTTGTTGTAGTCGTTGCCCTTTTTCGTGTCTAATGTTATCGTGGCATTTATTGTATATTTACTTTATAGAAAAGGCAATTGTCTCTGCTTTCGGGCCGCCCGCTGATGTTCAGAATGGCCGCAAGCCCTGCAAGCAGAGAAATTAAAATAAATTGTATCTTGTAGATTTCTATCAAATAACAAGAAACCCAATTAGGAGCGACCGAGAGTGTGGGCTATCGTGTCGTTCTAACGTGCCTCTGGCGGACTCTGACTCCGACTGCAACAATTAGTTGGCCTAGACATGGCCAAAATAAATAAACAAGCCGAAACGACGGAACAAGTATCTGCCGGCCGCTTGACAAATTGAGTTGGCATGTGCCCCGATCCGGACAGCAAGACTACACACGCGGAAGTCTAACATTTAGGGAGACATTTAGGCCTGTCTGTCATTGGGCTGGCTCGCTGGCTAGCTGGCTTCTCCTCATTCCAATCATTCCCGGACTCGTTCGTAGTGGTAACGTCAGCCATTGACCGTGTTTATCAACTTCGTCGGGGTCTGGCATTAGAGAGCACCCTCCTATGCTTGATAAGCGTGCATTGACTTCCATACTACAGCTGCAGTGCATTTTGGTTTCCCTTCAAATCAAATCAAATGATTTATTGCCTATGCAGGGCTTGTTTTTTTCTTACACACTCCCGTGGTTTTTCACACGTGTCTAACACGTGAAAGTGAAAAGTTTCATTAAGTACTTTTTGCCCCATGGGCGTCACAACTGCTGATGAGCCTTTGGCCAAAGTCCATTGACATGCAAAACGCTTTCGCCATTAAAAATTCACACTTATTTGTTTACGGCTTGAACACAGACAGTTATGCAAAACTTCGAGTGCATTTAACGTAATGTCTTAGTTGCGGTGTCAGCCCAAAAAACGCGGGCATGTCAGTGAACTCTTTAGAGAACAGTATGTGAGTATGTGTCTGTTTCTGTGATTGTTGTAAAGTAAAGAATCAAAGAGCTAGAAGTAAAATACCGCAAAATTCTTTTCACTATTCGCAAGAGCTGAGCTTCACTTGTGCCTCTTCGCTCTGTTTTGGTTTCAACTGTAATTTTGGAAGCACGCTTCACGCTTTTCGGTTTCGTTTTGGAATTCACGCTAATTTTGCTTCTTTCAGTTTGTTTTTCTTCTCTTTTTTTAATGTCATACACGTTCTGTTGCCTAATGATTTTTATTAAGAATTCGCGCTTTAAACATTAGCACTTATGGTTTTTTTTAGCAAGATCGTTATTTCGTTTTCTTATGTATGAATTCGTAGAAAACACCCAAGTTCTAAAACGTATATCTTTGTTAGCATTTCGTGGGTGCTAACTCGGTAAATTGATAATTGTTGTTACCTCTCGAAACAGAATCAATTATAGTAACAGCTGTCAGCTCAGTCTGAATATCATGAATCATAATATGAATTCATACATCGGCCATTAGCAGATGGTAGAACGTGAGATAAGTTAGGCCAAACGAGGAAAGTTTTGATTATAGTTTGACGAATGGGGAATGTCAATCCAAAAATTGATCAATATCTATCAATACATCTTCTAATACCTAGTTTGTTCTATGCCTTTCAGAAGGCAGTGATTCACCAAGCAGTGCCTACCCACTTGCCTCTTTGTATAATTTAGCTTGAGAGCTAAGCAATCGGCGAATTCAGAAGCAGCTAGACACATGATTAATTGACTTTAATATTTTATATTTCTTTATGTAAAAGATCTTTTATCCCTTTAATCTTTAACATTATCATGATGGCCATTTTGGATGAAGATGCAGTCGCTTCAGTATAGATTTTTAAATGTTTTTTATATGTTTAATAGTGTGCCTTTATGAATGGTTTTCATAATGTTGGTATATTGGCAAATAAAGTCGGACCGATCCTTAAGTTAATTTTTGCGCGAAAGAGTGCTGTATTTTAAACTTGATTATAAAAATAGATTTGCAGTGTTATTTCTACGCCTTTTCAATTATTCTCAGAACATTTAATAAATTCACAGAGAGGCTTTGTAGATTGTTTTTTTGCGATGCATTTTATTGAAAACGTTATACATTTCATTATAATTTGTTGTGGCATATTAAATTATGTCACAGCTCGGCCCGGCACGGAAATGAATCGAATGCAACCAAACACGCTTTGGCTCTCGTTTTTCTCTTCTCTACTGTTTTTAATTGCATTTCAACTTAATTGCGAAACCGTTTAAGTCGTTGACGGCACTGGAGAGCCTGCGTGAGTGATCAAACATTTTTTAAGACTGTGCAGACGGAGGACAGACGTCAGTTTTATTGTTGTCGATGTTGTTGCTGTTGCTGCTGTTTTCGGTAATTAAACTGTCATTACGCTTGCCGCGGTCTGCCATTAAATGACATAAGCACTAAAAAATGTCCCATCGCTCGCGCTACCTGCTTGCAAAATGACCAAAATGTGTAACAAATACATAATATACATATATACTATATATACATGTATATATATATTGCATGCGCTTTAGTTGGACAGACAACCAACTGGCATGCGGCTAACACAGGGAAATTGCGTTTATTTTATTGCCAAATCCCAAAGGCCACTAAAGTGAACCAGTTTGGAATTTTAACTAATAATTTCCGACAATGGCTTAAGCATCAACAGCGACGAGTGGCTTCGCTTTCGGCTGCTGCTGTTGCTGTTCATAGGAAAGAGTCTATTATGCCGATGTTGATTGGCGATTGTCCGGCGCTAGTCGACGCTGTCGATGGCAAAAGTTGTTTCGAAAACTAATACCAGTTTCAGCATTTTCAGAGCCTCTATTTTTAAACGGTTGCCAATTTTACCATTCACTTTGCAGGCAGGCGAGGCGGAAATTAAAATTGATAAACCATTTATTGGCAGCATATCTGTCGTGTCTCCCTATGCAGAAGTAATGCTGCTGGTAATTACATCGGGAAATCCGAAGCTGAGAAATCGGTGCTGCTTGCAAATGCGCTCTACACCCGCCAGACAGTCAAAGTTTTCAATTAGATTATGAAAGCTTCAGCCAGCTTCAAACACCAGCACAAATAAGTGTGGCAGCCATTAGATATTTATTATTAAACTTCTCAGTGCTAATGAAATACGACAAACTTTTAAATCACTTTCTTGATAGACTGCCGTCTGCAGGCAAGCAGCGAACATTGACAAATCTCGACTACCGTCAGCTGCAGGTCTAATCCCAACCCCCAGTTCAAGTAACGCGAAAATGTTCAAAACTTACAGTAAAATAAATAAGCTTAAACGAGTTTGAAAATCTCAATTTTAAAGCAGAATGCGAAGAAATAGGAATTATTATTATGCAGTGGCTCAGTGAATTGAAAGCATATAACTGGTATTTCGCTTTTCAATCAAATTATTCTATGAAATCTATTCTCAAAATCTTGTCTGCACTGGAAATTAAAAAAGTGTGTTAAAATCAAATTGTGCATCGACCCTCAGTTGAAAATAGATGTCGATGACCCCACTCCTTTGCTTCATAAGGCTTTGATGTTTATACAGACAGGCATAACTATGTATTGTATATTAAATTATCTCATCATGCTTGTCTGACACGCTTTTTTCTGTCTGTTAAATACATTCTGACTTCTCAGTAAACCTTTCCAACCTACTTAAAACACCTGCGAGTTATTCTGTGTGTTAAGCAAGCATTTCCTGCAATGTTCTCAAAACATTTTCAATATACTATTACGATTTGCAACGGAACGTTTGCGCTTTTGTTCAGAAACTGCAGGCAAATATCGCGCCCCAACGTCCCAGCTAAATACTTTGCTCATTTTAATATAAATATATACAAGTCAAACAATAACAACGACAACGACAACAAGAAGCGAACGTGAGCATGAAGAGTGTATTTGTAGTTCTCAGCAATTTCCTGTTGCAAGGAAGCTCACAAAACAGCACCGATACGTGTGTGCATGTTTGCGATGAAGAGGAGGTTTTGGGGGACTGTTCTAAATAACTTCATTAGCATTTTTGTTGTCAGCAGCTGCGACGCATCTTAGAACAGAGGCAAGCCCTAACCTCCAACCCGACCCCAACTTCAGGCATAAGCAAGTGGCCGCCGTTGCGCTGTGGAGGAGAGTGGCTTGCTTTTGTTGGGAACAGTATCTTGTAGAATTTTATTGCTCTCTGTTCACGGGTCGGTTAAACTGGGACAAGCTGAAAAATGCTCCATCGCGACGGGGCCAACGTTGACACAATTTTTGTGCTCAAGCGTCAACGACGGAGCATTTTCATTTTCATGCCGTACGCAAAATTGGAAGATGTGAATAAAAAGGAAAAAGAAAGAAAAACATTGTTTATGACGACTTGTGAGCGCGCCAAAAGCGATAAAATTATGCAGATTAGAGTTTTAAAGTATTTTTTTACTCGTTTAATAAGACGCACTCGGGGGCCCAAGAAGAAGAACATGATGCCAGAAATGTCCGCCTTTAAGTTGTGATCAAAATGCCAGCGACAAACGACGTCGGCCCACACAACTACCCGAGCCATTGTCTTGACCAAATTGTCCAAATTGTGGGAAGAGCGACAAGCATGAAACAAGCAGAGAACAAAACTGAAACATGAAAAAATCAGTCCAATCTATTCAAAGCGCAACGCCCGCGCTCTAGGGCATATTTTTCCCTCTTTGTTGGCCACATTAAGTTTGCTTAAATGCGCGCAATTGAAACTAATGCCACAAGAGGCTCCCCACACCCCTACCACAACAAAAGTGGCTTCCAGATACGCAAGCGATTTTGTCAAAGACGTTTGGCTTTGTTTAAAAAGTTTTGGTTACACAGCTTGGACAACAACTCTATTGTTTTGGGTCTTGGGTCCTATGTAATTGAGAATTGCTTTGCTCTGTCGCGCAATTTGTTGAAGCGACTCTCTATTTGTTCCTCTTCGACAATTCTCTCCTCGTTCCGATGACGCAACCAAAACAAGTCTGATCTGTGTTTACTAATTTTATGCATAAAACATAAAATACAAACAGGCAGAAACGCCGCAAAGCCGAAAAGTAAATGTTGAACGATTATTGGCATTAGTAGAGAAGATGTCGAGAAGACAATGAAAACGAAGAAAAGGTCAAAGTTATTTGCAAACAAACCTGCAACAGCGCCAAAATAATCATTAAATATTCAAATGGGAGACGCACAGGCGACAGTTGACAGTCGGCAGTCGACAGTCGACAGTTACCAGTTTAGGGCCGGAAGTGAGTGCTTCACCTGCTATTGTTGTTGCTGTTGCTGTTACTGTTATTGTTGTTGGTCCCCTCTGTCTCAGCTGGGCAAATGGCCGCAGACCAGCATACGCAAAAAGCGTGGAAAAGTGAAAGTGGCTGCGAGGTGTTTGCATATTTTTTTGCTTCTGCCAATCGCTGGCGCCTACGCAGCCTACGCGTCTCGCATGCACCTAAAAATTCCCCTCCCCTCTATCTACAAACTGCTCTTGTTAAGCAAGTCGTGATTCTGCACATTGACACGTTATTTACATAAGTAAGTTGGAAGGAAAAAGCCTACAATTAAAGCCAGCTGCAATACTTGTACAAGTATTCAAGACATTTCTCCTACGAAGTAAAGTAAATTGCAAACTTAATACCTTTCTTAATTCCCAGTAATAAACATATCCGCAGTAATCGCTTCAACCTCAATTACTCTTTAAACAAATAACCATTTTGATTGATGCTGTGGGCTTTCAACCTCTGCTGTTCAGAAGCAATACCGAAATAATATTAAATATTTCTTGGCTCCATTCGCACAGACGATTTTCACAAAATAGAGTCCAGTGTGCACCGCAGGTATCCTCAAGCCCACTCGGGTTTGCGCCCAAAGCCTGCCTCCATTTTCGAGGCCTTCGACAAACGAAGCACGGAAGTGCCCCCTCTTCGCTGATGGGCACTTTATAAATAGGAGGCGAGCAGTATTGGAGCATCGACTCAGCTGCTGTCACTCCATTTTAAGAGGGCCCCATCTCTAGTCGCTTGGAAAATGCTGTGAAATAGCGAACAATGGAAATGTCACTCCAAATGTTTTAAAATGGCAATACCATTGGCGACTGACAGTTGTGAGAGTTGGAAGTTTTCAGTTTGGGTGTGGTTTTCAATTTCCCCGTAGAGACAGGCAGAAGGAAGCCGCTCAAACTAAGCACTTGACATAAAATTAATGGCAAGCAATTCTCACACGATTCTAGAAACATGCATGTACGAGTAAGAGCTGTTGTTCCAACTTAAAGCCACAAAGTTTATTGCCATACTACACAAGCCGTAAACAGAGACATGGCCAAGTCATAAAGTCACATCAAAGAAGGAGCCAAAAGCCAAAAGCTGGCCACCGGACTTGGTGATGGGCTCGACTTACATAACCAGCATACGAGTATTCATGTTCCTATGCACATAATTACAAGAAGAATTACGAGGGCGGTACAATAAGTCTTTACAAAACAATTAAATAAAAAATGAAATTGTATGATTACTTCAAAAAAAACAAGAGATGTTTTGGATTAATTATTTAGTATTTTTAACCTTGTCTATCCTTTTAGTTGAATATACAACTCCACTTTTCTTGAGATCCAAGAAAAAACCCTAAAGATAAGCAGAAATGTGCATCTTTTTCAGAAAAAGTGGTTCTTTTTTAGGTTTAGAGGAAAAATATGCGTTTTCGCTCTCGAAGTGTATATAATCATGTACTACTTGTATATGTGTGAAGAAACTCACCCGCATTGCAATGGAAAGGTTCTAAACAAACCGAAATTTGAGCTCGTTATAGACCTATCGTATAATTTTCCAGCAATTTCTGGAGCACTAGTCTCAAGAGGTCATTCGTTAATAGTTATTGAACTACCCCCGTATATGTCAGAATCAGTTAGTGCTGCTCATATTACATGTCATGCTAATTACTTTTAATGCCAGTTAGTGGGTCACTCTGAAATATGTAAATATTTCCGCTTTGGCGACGAAGGCAACGACGACGCACAAAAAGAAAAGTGCAAGCTGCGGACACTTCTTTGTGAGTTCATTGTGCCAAGACTTAAGAAGCAGTAAAGCAAAAATAAAAAAGAAACTTTTAACAGTTCCAAGTTGTCTTTTATGTCACAGTTATGGCTAAGAACGAGGCAAGTGTATGGCCACAAAAGCGACGGTCCGGACAGCACAGAAGCCGCAAACAAAATCGTTGACTGACACACTCGAAATGGGGAAACTGGGAATGCTTACAGCCTGTAGAAGCGTTGAAATGTGCGTGATAAGAGTGTGCGAATGTGTCAGTGTGTGTGTCAATGTGTGTGTCAATGTGTGTGAAACATGAGCAGAAGTAGCAGTGTATTATAGAATATTATGTACAGTGTTGACCAGACTCGAACAAATTCTCTTTCGAATGGTTGACACGTGCCCATCCACAGAGCTGCTGCTGATAGTGCTTTGTTTGGACAAGTTATGCAACTTCTAGTGCCACTAGTATCACCAATTTTGGAATATTTTATGACAGGTTCAATAAGAATAGCCGATTTGAAATTGTGGGTAATAGTAATAGTGTACATATCCCGATCATACTTGTATATAAAAAATATTTATTTATAAATATAAAATGAAGTACTGAAGTTCAAGCATAATTATTAAATTTCAAAAGGGTTTTATAGTTATGGACAGCATGAAACAAATTACAAAAGCTTCCGCATAAATATGAACTATGTATATTTTATATATTAATGTTGATTTGCGAATCGTTCAATCAGCCTTCAGCCTCACTTTTAACCCCACTTTTGTGTAAAGGATAAAAAACAGTGTATAGTTTTGCGGTCAATTAAAACAAAATCTTTATAAGTAATCGATAAAACTATAATTTTGTGAACTTATTGTGACCGGCCTTTGTTCCCTCACTTGCGTCGATTGCGCCTTCTCAGCTGGCGGTTAGCGTTTGGCCGGCGTCGTCTGTTATAGATGCTGTGACGTACTCTTCCAGCCACCAGGCGCGGACGTTTGTTTGCGCGTGCAATTCTTCCCAGCATTCGCTGAAGGTGTAATAGAATATACATACATGACAAATTAGTGGATGCCCTCCACTCACCTGCTTCTCAAACAAGTGCTTCTGCCCCTCGGTCATCGCATCCCAATGAGCGGGTGCCTCCTGCAGGAGACGCCGCAGTCCAAAGCGCGGATGCTTGCGCTTGAAAAAGCGTAGAAAATTCAAATATGGTAGTGGGGCGACCAAGCGAGGATCGTCGCATATATCACGGGCTCGCAATTTCGCTGCCATCTTTCGACAAGAATCTGAAATACTGCTACTGCCAAAGTTGTTGCAGAACCTTTAGAACTACAGTCAGAAACTTTTTCTTAAGTATATTGCAAATTATTAGAGAAAAAATTAGTGTTAACTGTTGTGTCATGATCGAATGAATTTGATGTTATGGAATGTTTTGTGTTTGGATCTTTAGAGAGCAGCATCAAGGCCGACTCGATGGCAGTATTCGCTAATAAAATTTCCCCATTAGTGGTTACTAAGGTTCGGTTAACTCGTATTTTTGAAATCAAAATTAAATGAACGTGTTCTGCCGACTTTTTATGCCAGACGCCTAATGAATACCTGCCTCTCTGATTATTGATTATGCAAACAGCGACCTATGCCAAACCCTAATACATAAGCAGATCAAACTAAATATTTCACGGTAGTACAAATTCCGCGCATAACAAAGCCGAGAACTCATTTACATGCCCCCACACAGCATTCACAAGCCCCATTCAGATATTCAGAGTCGCAGACGACACCATATTGAGAAAAGCTAACATACATACATATGTGTACAGTGGGCCCAGAAACATTGGTGGTATGGCAATGAGTGAAGATTTTGTTTCAACTTTTTGTATTTCCACTTCCGCGTCCCGCAGACGAAAGTAATGAATTAAATATCAAGGGGTGCCACAAAAACTCAATTCTTAAATTTGTGTTCATAATATATTATACAAGATTAATAGCTTTTGTTATTCCATGGAAATTTATAAACTTGTCTTGAATTTGGTAGTTGTTGAATCTCTAAAGCATCTAAACTAAAATAAACTTTGTTGAACCAATCCATCCTTTAACAGCTTTATGATATAGTTTACTATACTATAGTTTACTATTTCGATCAATATTAATTTTGAATTTGAAAAAATTCAACATTTTAGTGTGAACATATGGTTTGTAAGAAACTTGCTCAGACTGGCTAATACGTACAAGTCTACATAGAAAGTTTGGGTTCCCTAGTTGTTATGGTTCAAAAGTCCTAGGTGCTTATAAGGAAATATGTATATATCGAATCATTTCGTAATGCTGATCATTTATGTAGCCATTACATAATGGTTTTTTGATGAATAGGCGATTCGAAATGTTCGTATTTTGGCCAACTGTGCAGCAGTACAAAATCACATTAATATGAGTACATTTATACATGAGTCGATATTCTGTGTCTACGAGTATGTATATGTGTGTGTATCTATAGATATAATGTATACGTAAATAAAAGAACGCCTACGAATGAAAACATCGCAGATTTTTTTAACTTGATGTATAAAACTCAACGTTTGTGTCTTGTCTTTACATCTCAGTCCGTCATCTCGTCTGCAGCCTCATTGGCGACAACAGAGCTCGTCTCTCATTCGATTACGCCTATGAATATTTTCTGTATATATAACATATATAGCATAGCATATATAGTATGTGTAAATATTTTGATTTTTATTGCTACTTTTGCGTCGCCGACGCCGATTCTGTGAGTTGTACTCTGGTCTGCTCTTTCTGAGCTACTGATAAGGCAGTTTTATTTGCTGTCGCTTTATAAGTATGTTAAACTTTTGCGCAAACAAAGGCAAGCTACGAGTAGCACTTTAATTTTGTTTTTGTCTGCCCAGCCAGCCAGCCACGTGAGCGCGGCTTCTGAGACGCAAATCAAAAATCTTGGGCAACTATTTGGTGCTATCGAGTATATGTTTTGTAAATGAAACAAATACCAGCCTCTTCATCTCTCTGTACTCTTCGTTGCTCGTCATTTGTAGTTTAGATAAGTTAGCTTACAATTTTGTTACATTTATTTTCAGCCACAGAAGGCATTAAAAAGACATTAAATAATGCACCGCGCAAGCTGAGCGGCACACTTCCGCACGCTGCGCAGTTGCATGGGGAACGGCGACGAGCGGGTATTTTGGGGCAAGGCTGCCCAAGCAAGTAATTTCCCAACTCGACGACAAGTCAAAGGCAGCAACGACAGCGCCATGAAAATGCAATTTCCGTCCGGTTTCTTATAATATTGTATGTACAAATATGTACAAACATATGCATATAGTAGAGTATATCTATACTCTATGTAGTTGCTGTTGCTTCTGCTGCATTTAATTTAATTCTTAGGCACCCAGCAGCAGCAACAACTTGCCAGACCGACGCTGCTTCATTGATATGCAAATTTTTGGTTTTTATTTCTCATTCGAATTTAAATGCCTTTTAAGCTATGATTCGTGGTTATGGAAATATTTCGGAAAGGGGTCCCCAGCTGTGAGCTTTTGTGGACTTCTTCAAGCAGCTTTTAAGTGAATTATAATGCCATTATTAACACATATTGCCAGTCCAGACGAATTGACGTCTTTTATTTTTTGTGATGAATACATACTTACATAAGAGTGTGTTTTTCTTTTCGATGAAGTGCATATCCGTTGTGCATTTCCGCTCTCTCGCCCCTTTGTGTTAATATGAATAGTGTCTGATCATAAGCAGTCGAAACATGAATTCACAGCATTCGCTTTCATTATTAATTTGCAGTCATTTTGTGGATTTTACAACAAATAAAAATTTAAAAAAAGAAGAAAAGAAACTTGCCAAACTGGCAATAAATGAGATTGTTAGGCGCAATGCACAAAAACAGCATTACACTAGCAGTAGCAATAGCAATAATAAACCCGAAGTTGTGAATTGAACGCAAACTGAAAATGCACAAAAGTAACAACAAACACAGAAATAAACAACCACAACAACCAGCTTAAACACTAGCTGTAAATTTGAAGCTGTAGACAATCAGCAACATTGCCAACTGTATCGTTTGCAACATGTTGACATATCAATTGCAAGCAACACGAACACACCAATACACTTAGAAAAAGCAAGTGTTTGTTTATCCCAGATTTAAATAAAAAACAAGTATTAAAATATGCTAGTAGTTATAGTTAAACGCTTATGGATAGTTAATGGCTAATGGGGTTCTTTTCTAAAGTTATTTTTATTTCTAATATTTACATTTTCAAAATTCTTTAATTCAATTTTTTGAAGTGTACTACAGTGTATGTTCATACATAGCTGCAAGAGAAGTTTTGTCCCCAACGGTTTAGTTGTTGTTGTGGACCCGGCATTGTTGCTGTTGTTGTTGTTGTTGCTGATGTGGTGATGGTTCAGCCAACTAATAAACTTGATTTGGTGGAAGCTCCGTAGTTGGTACGAGTGTATGCGTTTTCCCACAATGTTTGGTTTGGCAAATTGTCAGCTGGTCCCATTCTCCCTCACTTGCCTAAAGTTTGTCATTTGGAAAATGGATTGCTACAAGTGCAGCTTTGTTGTTGGCGTATCAATCACAAAGTTGTTTAACTTGCGCCAATTTGCTGTCCAGTTTTCAGCAACTTTGTCAACGCATATTTCAACAGAAAATGTGCGAGAATATACATCGATATGTGTATGTATCTGCTTTGACTCGGAATATACATACTCGTAGTTTGCCGAAGTGACTAATAAATCTTTCCTCACGGGCTTGGACAGATTTTCGTTTCTCTTTTAATTATATTTATTGATAATTAATTAGTCCTAAGTTTCCTTTTATTCTCTGCTTTGATGCTAAAATTCTTATTTGGTTGTATCGTTGATTAATCAATGAAGTAGCGAAATTGCTGGTAGAAAATATTAAAATTATTAGGTGGTATCTAATCATCGGAGGGAATGTACGCAGAGTTTTGTCACAACGTCACAGGTTAATGAAACAATGTCAACTCGCAAATTGCTTGGCTTCCTATGAATGCAATAGGAAATAAGTCACATAAAAGTATGGATACAATTTCTGTCGTTGGCTCTTTGTGTCTTGGAACTTTCTTTAATTTGAAATTTTGCTTGGGTGTGTAATTTCTCCAGATATTGTCACATGTGGAAAACAAAACATAAAGTTCCGCAAAGCGATTGCCAGCCAGTCTCAATGAAGAAACAAACACTTCTCTTGTCCATTTCGGACTTGGTTGAGCAACTTTTTGCGGCTCTTTTGAAACAAATTGCAAACTTTTGATTGAAATATTGTTTGTCGGGGGAAGTCAAAGTTTTGAAGGCGCTCAAAAGTTTTCAACGAAAGCAAATTTCAGAAAGTTCTGTCTTTGATGCATTTTACTTTTCTTTAATTACTGTATTATGCATAACTTTTTGGCATTTGCAATATCTTTAACGCTCAATTAAACATACAAAGAAAACACACCTTTAAAGCAAAAGTCACGCTTTTTACATGCAATATTTTTTAAACCGTTCCTCACTCACCTTTCTCCCTCTGTTCACATTTCTCTTTGCAGGTGAGCTAACTTTTTGTAATGCGATGAAGTTTCTTTTACAACACACGATTGCAGAATGGTTTGTACAACAACTATAACCTCAAGTTGGGGCAATTTGATTATCTTAATCTGAATAAACATTAATAAAAAGGCTCAATAAAAATTAACTTTGATTGCGCTGCCAGAACTTTCAGTTCAGAGCGCGTAAATTTCACTTTTCTGAAGAAGCGGAAATCGCCAGAGTTAATATCTTCAATTAAACGAAATTTTTACAATCAATTATAGCCAAAGGTGAACACATTGTTTCTCTTTTATGGTTATTATTGGTGTTTTCTTTTCTTTCTATTTGTTTTTAAAATGCATGAAAATGTGAATAAAATAAAATTAATTAAGCGCGAAAAGTATTTTAAATAAAATGTCTGCAGGCATCTTCTAGCAATAGCAACCGCAACAAAATAGCTTCAAACATGCAAATAGGTTTTTATGTGCAAAGCGTTGAACTTTTCAAATTTTAATTAAAGCAAATATTTATGTAAGAAATTGAAATTTTACTGACTGCACAGTAGGAAGGGGGAAGTGAACAACAAAAGAGCACAAATAAGGAAAATGAAGATGCGCTCGAGGCAGCAACCTCAACAAAAACAACGATATGCTATACTATATATGGGAAAGCTCTGCCATCTAATTGTGTAACATAACTTTCGCCTCATAACTAAATGCTCGCCCAAATACCGAAAACCTGAAGACGGAACACCAAACGAACACTGAAGACGGGCGACGTCAAAAACAGATGAAAGACGTCGATT